CACAGAGTTAATTCTTTCTAGGCAAAGGTTTGGATCCGTGTTGTTCAGGATATCTTCCCAGCTTGTTTCATTTAGGACATGGTTGATTTGATCCACCGTATATTTCTGTTATTGAAGCTGAATTTGGTGAGGGCACCCTCATAACTGATCATCTTATGTTAGTCAGGAGCACTGTGCATACATGTCTGTACCTCTGTTATGTTATGATCTGAGTGTATTGTCTTTAATACTGTTATATTTCATTATCATTATTAGTGAAGACAAGGTCAAGTGTATTTTCTGGCCTTGTTGGTTCAGCTGTTTGCTGGCTTAACCCTTTGACTGTCGAGGTCGTATATATACGTCTTACGAGGTACCGTGTTTGACGTATATATACTCATAAATTCTAGCGGCTTCAAATCAAGCAGGAGAAAGCTGGTAGGCCCACATGTGAGAGAATGGGTCTGTGTGGTCATTGTGCACCATATAAAAAAAATCCTGGAGCATGCAGAGCATAATGAGAAAAAAAAACTCCGACTGTTTTTTTTTAATTAAAATGCCGACTTTGTGGTCTATTTTTGTATAGTATTTATGGTTGTATTCTCGTTTTCGTGGTCTCATTTGATAGAATGGAAAACATATTATAGAAATACAGGTGATTTTGATTGATTTTACTATAAAAAGAACCTAGAAATGGAGCTCAAGGTAGGGGAAATGTTTGATTTTTGCCGATGTTCAAAAGTAAACAAATGATGTCATTGTCCAATAAATGTCCAACTAGCCATTCTAATTTGCAGTCATGAATGGGTTGATGTTATTTATACAATTATTACAGCATTGCAGTAGTCTGCATAACAGTAAATCTTCTATTTTTTGTTTGAATAAAAATTCAAAATAGAAAGCAAGGGTAATATCAGAGGGGCTTGGAGACGTGACTGATGAACAAAGAAAATGTTATTTTAGAGCCAGGAATGTTTGCATTGTTCATTCTGGACCTTATTTTGAAATTGTCATATTTTTTAATTTTCGTGAAATTGGCCAAATTGCAAATTTCTGACCACGTTATTGGGTAGTTGAAATCGGTAAATGGGCAGTTTCTTGTACTCAATCGATAGAAAAAATGGAGTTCTAAAGAAAAAGCTATGAGTTTGGTCTACTGGAACAATGGAATTAGCCGAAAATAGGGCTCAAAGTGGGTGAAATCGCTGATTTGTAAATATCGCCGAGGTCGCTAACTTCGCGAGAGCATAATTCCGTCAGTTTTCCATCAAATTTCGTGTTTTTGGTGTCATTACAATCGGGAAAAGATTCTATATCATTTCATAAGAATTTTTTTTAAATTTTGCGACACCAGGAGACACTTCAGGATTTGGGGTTGCAACAGTCAAGGGGTTAAAGTGAATTTGTTGCAGAGATTTAATAGCTCGTGTGTGTGAATTTTTTATCTGAGCTGCCGCCTGGGGTTATCTCTGCTAAAACATTATTTTCCAGATTCCTCCATTTTAAGTGTCTTAAGTTGAAATCACCCAGCAACAAGATATTTGGGGCTGGGGTTGGAAGATTTTTCTAGTCAGTAGTCAATTTTCAAAAGCTGCTCCTTGAATTGTTGGGAGGTTGTATCTGGTGGCTTGTATACAGCCACAATGACAAGGTTTTGGTTTTCAATCTTTACCGCCAATTAATTGCCTCGTCCCCCCCTTCAGTTACATCATTTGTGGTGTTTAGCAATTCCAAGCAATGAATGACTCTGTGACATAGAGGCCAACCCCCATTTGTTGCCAGTTTTTTGTCACATCTGAATAAGTTGTACCCTGGGAATCGATATTTCGTTGTCAAAGTGATCCTTGTGTGGGTCTCTGTGAAAGCCCCAAACATTGCATTTGACTCTGAGCAATTCGCTGATAAATGGTTATATGCTCAAGGTCAGGAATAAGGGCAGGATTTTGGTTACTGACTGGTGGTAGTTTCAGTACTGTGGTACTGGTAAACTAAATTGTAACCCATAATCCCTTTTCTCTTATATATCTGTCACAGCAATAACCTGAACATTGCTGATTGTGTTCTGCAGGTTCGTGAAATTTTCATCTTTCTCCATTCTGAGGGCTATAGCATTACTACTATTGAATATCATGAACTAAAACTTTCCCAAAGTCAATGTGATATATATGCCAATCTTCATGTAAAATTTTATTGAAATTGGAGATGGTCAGGTGAAGACCCCTTGTCCACTTGACATGGAATGACCCATAATTACATACATACAAACATTCATAAATTTAGTGAAATATTGTCTTGTCTACATGTTATAATATCTCAGATAATAAAAGTGCTCACCTGTATCTTCTAGGCATTATTGGCATTGTCAAAGACCATTACAGCAGACGTGCATAAATGTTTGCTCTGCGATTCATGTAGTACAAGGTTGCTCAATTTCATGTCATCTGTTAACCGAGCACTTCCTGGAAAATACGCACTTGGTATTATCTTAACATTCAAAATATGAATATCTTGATTTACACACAAAATATATTGAAGAAAAAGACACAGGCACACAGGAAACTTTGTTATTTACTTATTGTGACAATGTTATCAAGACTTGATAAAGCTCTTCATAGAGTAAAATATTATTATAATAAGCGCTTGCTATATATCTTTGTCTTCTCATCATTGCTGTTGACAGTATTTTTTTTTTCCATCTACCAAGGTAGGGTGACCCGACAAAGAAGGAAACTTTCACTGTCACTCGTTCAATCACTGTCTTGACAGAAGATTCCTGACATCACAGTTAAGATGACCCTCCAAACCACAAAATCCTCACTCCTTCAGAGTTCAGGCACTATACTTCCCACCTACAGGACTCAAGTCCAGCCAGTTGGTTTCTCTGAATCCCCCTCATAAATGTTACCTTGCTCACACTCCACACACTGCAACAACACAACAAATAAAAACAACTTGCCTTCACTCCTATCTTACAAGCTCACACAAGTCTCTTGGATGGCCAATCCCCTAGAACTCAAAACAACCTGTACCTCCCCTCCATTTACCAACCTTGGTTTTTTTTTTTTTTTCTTTAACAAGTCGGCCGTCTCCCACCGAAATAGGGTGACCCAAAAAGAAAGAAAATCCCAAAAAGAAAATATTTTCATCATCATTCAACACTTTCACCTCACTTACACAAAATCACTGTTTTTGCAGAGGTGCTCAGAATACAACAGTTTAGAAGTATATACGTATAAAGATACACAACATATCCCTCCAAACTGCCAATATCCCAAACCCCTCCTTTAAAGTGCAGGCATTGTACTTCCCATTTCCAGGACTCAAGTCTGCCTATATAAAAATAACCGGTTTCCCTGAATCCCTTCATTCAAAATTACCCTGCTCACACTTCAACAGCTCGTCAGGTCTCAAATACCATTCATCTCCATTCACTCCTATCTAACACGCTCATGCACGCTTGCTGGAAGTCCAAGCCCCTCGCCCACAAAACCACCTTTACCCCCTTCCTCCAACCTTTTCGAGGACGACCCCTACCCCGCCTTCCTTCCCCTACAGATTTATATGTTCTCCTTGTCATTCTACTTTGATCCATTCTCTCTAAATGACCAAACCATCTCAACAACCCCTCTTCAGCCCTCTGACTAATACTTTTATTAACTCCACACCTTTTCCTAATTTCCACACCGAATTTTCTGCATAATATTTACACCACACATTGCCCTTAGACAGGACATCACTGCCTCCAACCGTCTCCTCGCAACAGCATTTACAACCCAAACTTCACACCCATATAAGAGTGTTGGTACCACTATACTTATGTACATTCCCTTCTTTGCCTCCATAGATAACATTTTTTGTCTCCACGTATACCTCAAAGCACCACTCGCCTTTTTACTTTCATCAGTTCTATGATTAACCTCATCCTTCATAAATCCATCCGCTGACACGTCGTCTCCCAAATATCTGAAAACATTTACTTCTTCCATACTCCTCCTCCCCAATTTGATATCCAATTTTTCTTTATCTAAATCACTTGATACCCTCATCACCTTACTCTTTTCTATGTTCACTTTCAACTTTCTACCTTTACACACTCTCCCAAAACTCGTCACTAACCTTGGTGTCCACATTAAATATGTTGTAATGAAAGGTCCTTACATTTTTTATACATTCTTTACTGAAATGAATCACTGCTTTCTTTGCTGCTGTATTTCATATACTGTACAGTATTTATGATATTTTTTTTTTTTTTTTTTTTTTTTTTTTTTTTTTTTTTTTTTTTTTTTTTTTACTGTAAATATGGTCTCAGCTTTGGCAAAGGCTCCAAGACACTGTCAGTTGTTGATTGCTGGATATGCTGTACATATTTTACATATGCTGTAGTAATATATTCTAGAAATGTGAGCCTTGGTTTACTGAAGGGTCTGTCATTAATAACTCAGATTCTTCTTTTTTTTTTTTCCTGGTGCTATTTGGTTATGACTTGAAGCATGACTTCTGTATTTTAAACAAACTACTTACGTAGATATTTTTTTAAATGTATTCACAGAATTTTTCTCAAGCCTCTCTTCTTTCTAGATGTTCTTTTTGCTGACTGTCATAATTAATGAGGGTAAAATAATATTCAAAGAATTATGGTCTCTGAAGTAGAAGTTTTTATAATGATGGATTTTAATAGCATTCGTTGATTCTGGATTTGCACAGACCTCTAGGAACCTAACCTCACAAATTTAGAGGCATAACTTGACTTCATTTCTTTCTGTATAGGTCACCCAGCCTTAGTGGGGGACTGCTAGTGTGTTAAAAAGAAAAAAAAAAATTGTTGATAAGTTCCGATGTATTGTACATATACTTGCATAGCTATGATAAAAAGAAAGTCACATTTCAATACATGTGCCGTGTATTGTTGAAATCTTGTGCCTAGGTTTGGTTAGCTTTAATGTCTGGATAAAAGCTTGAGATTAACATGTTCATATATTTTAAGTTTAACCTGCAATAATAACTTTAATTCCTGTATTCAGCTTGTCATGGATATGGCAGCTCCTCTTCCTGCAAAACAGTTGTTGGCAATTATTGAAGAGCATCTTTCATCTGGCCTAAATGAAACTTTCATGACGGCTGATTTCAGCAATCAACTGACAGAAGTATTTAATCAGTTGGCTGGCCAGGAATCATTGGTGGTAAGTATGATACTGAATGTATATCATGCCTTGTCTCAATTTCTTATTTAAAAAAAAAGCCAGTTTATTCTACTACACTGATGGTGATGTTCATCAGTAGAGTAGAGTATAGACAGTGTTGGTGGATAACAACCATCCAAGAAGGTACTGTACTCTGAACACTGACAAGTAATTACAATAAATACCATGAGTGGATTGCAAAGATAATGACATGGATTTTTAAATTTTGTTATTGGACAGTGCACCAGGTCATCCTAGTTCTCTTTTGACTTGAATGAAAATGTCAATGTAATTTTCCTGCCACTGAACTCGACATCATTATTACAGCCAGTGGATCAGAATGTTGTTGCTACATTGAAGGCTTATAATTTAAGATGTACCTTTGTACAAGTCATAAAAGTACAGTGGGAGAAAATACCATAAGTTTAAACAAATTTTGGAAAGGTTACAATATTCAAAATGCAATTGAAAATGTAAGTGAATCATGGTGACTTGAAGTAACTGCCAGCAGCATGAGAGCTGTTTGGCAGTTTCTTTTACCATATTGTTCCAGTGATTTTGCCGGTATAGAATCCCATGTTGAAACTGTTTGTGAAAACATTGTGTGGCTTGGGAAAGATGATCTCAGAATTGAAGCTTTGGATTTTGAAGAAGTGCATCAATGAATTGAGTTGCATTCCGATGCAACACTTGTGGAAATAGATCAGAAACATTTATACAAAGAAACAGAGGAATATCAAGAAGAAAATGCTGTGCCCACGAAAGAATTCACATTGGATGAACTATTTTTATTTTATTAGCACACTGGCCGATTCCCACCAAGGCAGGGTGGCCCGAAAAAGAAAAACTTTCACCATCATTCACTCCATCACTGTCTTGCCAGAAGGGTGCTTTACACTACAGTTTTTAAACTGCAACATTAACACCCCTCCTTCAGAGTGCAGGCACTGTACTTCCCATCTCCAGGACTCAAGTCCGGCCTGCCGGTTTCCCTGAACCCCTTCATAAATATTACTTTGCTCACACTCCAACAGCACGTCAAGTATTAAAAACCATTCGTCTCCATTCACTCCTATCAAACACGCTCATGCACGCCTGCTGGAAGTCCAAGCCCCTCGCACACAAAACCTCCTTTACCCCCTCCCTCCAACCTTTCCTAGGCAGACCCCTACCCCGCCTTCCTTCCACTACAGACTGATACACTCTTGAAGTCATTCTATTTCACTCCATTCTCTCTACATATCCGAATCACCTCAACACCCTTCCTCAGCCCTCTGGACAACAGTTTTGGCAATCCTGCACCTCCTCCTAACTTCCAAACTACAAGTTCTCTGCATTATATTTACACCACACATTGCCCTCAGACATGACATCTCCACTGCCTCCAGCCTTCTCCTCGCTGCAACATTCGTCACCCATGACTCAAGAAATCGTAATGACACGATTGCAAACAAACCATACCCCCGGCCGGGATTGAACCCGCGGTCATAGAGTCTCAAAACTCCAGCCCGTCGCGTTAGCCACTAGACCAGCTAGCCACAATAAGATTCATCCAACTAGGTATATTTCTACACATAGGAAGGTTAGCACAGGCACCACTGTGACCACAAATGCAAGTTTTTACAGACGAATCTCCAGCTAGCATGGCCGTGACGAACTCTAGCTCAAGTCCCTTCACTGCCGTCAACATGACTCAAGAAATCGTAATGACACGATTGCAAACAAACCATACCCCCGGCCGGGATTGAATCCGCGGTCATAGAGTCTCAAAACTCCAGCTAGCTGGTCTAGTGGCTAACGCGACGGGCTGGAGTTTTGAGACTCTATGACCGTGGGTTCAATCCCGGCCGGGGGTATGGTTTGTTTGCAATCGTGTCATTACGATTTCTTGAGTCATGTTGACGGCAGTGAAGGGACTTGAGCTAGAGTTCGTCACGGCCATGCTAGCTGGAGATTCGTCTGTAAAAACTTGCATTTGTGGTCACAGTGGTGCCTGTGCTAACCTTCCTATGGTGTAGAAATATACCTAGTTGGATGAATCTTATTGTGGCTAGCTGGTCTAGTGGCTAACGCGACGGGCTGGAGTTTTGAGACTCTATGACTGCGGGTTCAATCCCGGCCGGGGGTATGGTTTGTTTGCAATCGTGTCATTACGATTTCTTGAGTCATGTTGACGGCAGTGAAGGGACTTGAGCTAGAGTTCGTCACGGCCACGCTAGCTGGAGATTCGTCTGTAAAAACTTGCATTTGTGGTCACAGTGGTGCCTGTGCTAACCTTCCTATGGTGTAGAAATATACCTAGTTGGATGAATCTTATTGTGGCTAGCTGGTCTAGTGGCTAACGCGACGGGCTGGAGTTTTGAGACTTTGACCGCGGGTTCAATCCCGGCCGGGGGTATGGTTTCGTCACCCATGCTTCACACCCATATAAGAGCGTTGGTAAAACTATACTCTCATACATTCCCCTCTTTGCCTCCAAGGACAAAGTTCTTTGTCTCCACAGACTCCTAAGTGCACCGCTCACCCTTTTCCCCTCATCAATTCTATGATTCACCTCATCTTTCATAGACCCATCCGCTGACACGTCCACTCTCAAATATCTGAATACATTCACCTCCTCCATACTCTCTCCCTCAAATCTGATATCCAATCTTTCATCACCTAATCTTTTTGTTATCCTCGTAACCTTACTCTTTCCTGTATTCACTTCTAATTTTCTTCTTTTACATACCCTACCAAATTCATCCACGAACCTCTGCAACTTCTCTTCAGAATCTCCCAATTGCACAGTGTCATCAGCAAAGAGCAACTGTGACAACTCCCACTTTATGTGTGATTCTTTATCTTTTAACTCCACTCCTCTTGCCAAGACCCTCGCATTTACTTCTCTTACAACCCCATCTATAAATATATTAAACAACCACGGTGACATCACACATCCTTGTCTAAGGCCTACTTTTACTGGGAAATAATTTCCCTCTTTCCTACATACTCTAACTTGAGCCTCACTATCCTCGTAAAAGCTCTTCACTGCTTTCAGTAACCTACCTCCTATACCATACACCTGCAACATCTGCCACATTGCCCCCCTATCCACCCTGTCATATGCCTTTTCCAAATCCATAAATGCCACAAAAACCTTTTTAGCCTTATCTAAATACTGTTCACTTATGTGTTTCACTGTAAACACCTGGTCCACACACCCCCTACCTTTCCTAAAGCCTCCTTGTTCATCTGCTATCCTATTCTCCATCTTACTCTTAATTCTTTCAATAATAACTACCATACACTTTTCCAGGTATACTCAACAGATTGTAACAATGTTGGTAGAATTACCGACAATATGTAAAGTAAAAGGACACAAGTGCAACTAATGTGACATTTTATTGTGGCAACATTTCGCTCTCCTGGAGCTTTGTCAAGCCGTAACGGCTTGACAAAGCTCCTGGAGAGCGAAACGTTGCCACAATAAAATGTCACATTAGTTGCACTTGTGTCCTTTTACTTTATATACTCAACAGACTTCTTCTTTCTTCTTTCAACACACTGGCCGTATCCCACCGAGGCAGGGTGGCCCAAAAGGAAAAATGAAAGTTTCTCCTTTTACATTTCGTAATATATACAGGAGAAGGGGTTACTAGCCCCTTGCTCCCGGCATTTTAGTCGCCTCTTACAACACGCATGACTTACGGAAGAAGAATTCTGTTCCACTTCCCCATGGAGGTAAGAGGAAATAAACAAGAAGAAGAACTAGTAGGAAAATAGAAGAAAACCCAGAGGGGTGTGTGTGTGTGTGTGTGTGTGTGTGTGTGTGTGTGTGTGTGTGTGTGTGTGTGTGTGTGTGTGTGTGTGTGTGTGTGTGTGTGTGTGTATATATATATATATATATATATATATATATATTATAATATATATATATTATATATATATATATATATATATATATATATATATATATATATATAATATATATATATATATATATATATATATATATTATATATATATATACAGTGGACCCCCGGTTAACGATTTTAATCCGTGCAAGAGGGGTAATTGTTATGCGAAATAATCGCTATGTGAATGAATTTTCCCCATAAGAAATAATGGAAATCAAATTAATCCGTGCAAGACACCCAAAAGTATGAAAAAAAAAATTTTACCACATGAAATATACATTTTCCCACACACAAAGAGAAGGATACATGCACAATAGTAGAGTAGTACATGCACAGTATACAGTGGACCCCCGGTTAACGATTTTAATCCGTGCAAGAGGGCTCATCGTTATGCGAAATAATCGTTATGCGAATTAATTTTCCCCATAAGAAATAATGGAAATAAAATTAATCCGTGCAAGACGCCCAAAAGTATGAAAAAAAATTTTTTTTACCACATGAAATGTTAATTTTAATACACACAAACTGAAAAAGGCATGCACAATTACATGACACTTACTTTTATTGAAGATCTGGTGATGATTGATGGGATGGGAGGAGGGGAGGGGCCTTATCTTCTACTGTTAGAAGGGGAATCCCCTTCCATTAGGACTTGAGGTAGCAAGTCCTTTTCTGGGGTTACTTCCCTTCTTCTTTTAATGCCACTAGGACCAGCTTCAGAGTCACTGGACCTCTGTCGCACAAAAATCTGTCCATAGAGCTCTGTACCTCCCGTTTCTTCAAGACTTTCCTAAAATGGGCCATAACATTGTCATTGAAATAGTCACAAGCACGGCTTGCAACAGCTGTGTCAGGGTGATTTTCATCTATAAAGGTTTGCAGTTCAAACCACTCGGGCACACATTTCCTTAATCTTTGAAGTAGGCACAATGGATTCCACAACGGGCATAGGCTTCTCAGGGTTAGCCCCAAACCCTTCAAAATCTTTTCTTAATTTCCATACTAATTCTCACCCTTTTTACCACAGGGTTGGCACTAGAAGCTTTCTTGGGGCCCATGGTCACTTATTTTCCAGAAACACCACCGAAAACACTGTAATAA